ATGGAAAGACACACACCTCAGAAAGATTCAAGGGACCAAAGGCAGGAGCCTCAAACCTCTGCATAGTCCATCGGTATCTTCAGAGGACCCTTCAGAGAATAAATGCCAGACAGCTGTTACTACCCTGAAGCACAGGAAACACCAAGCAACACTGTGTGCTTCTCATTTTACTCCGTTTAATGCAGTCAAGCTGTGGCCTGCTTGCGGACAGGAGCGTTAATATATTGCGATAGAAACTTTTTCCAGCCTTTACTGATACATGCAGTCCTCTCAATGACAAACCTGCACCATAACAGGACTGTGATCTTGAAAGGTAAATTAAATTCAGTGTGAGACCTGACCTGAATAAACCTCATGTGCAGTCACTAGAGGTTACAGGATAGCAGTCTGGATGAAGCTGGGTAGAAGGGTAGAAAACAGTAATCGGTTTCACCACAGATTTAATATAACAAGGTCACATTTTTAAAACTAATTTTCACGGCTAAGATTTTATTTTCTGTGATGAAGGGTAAATGGCATGTTTTGTCCACATTTGCTAGACACCAAGCCACGGGAGTAACACATTTTCTAAAACATGTTCCTTGGTTATCTAAGTAAAAGATTTCAGCCTGATTTCTCCACAGACTGTGTCACAGTGTTTTAAATAGCTGATCAAAACCCTAACAGCCCACTGAACTATACCAGCTTGTTATCTAACTTATGGAGTAACTGCAGCTTCAACTCCACCAGGAAGAGAACAGACCAGCCACAGGGCTACCCTGGTGTTTGAACAGAGGGCTCTGCTCTTCTGGTGCCTGGCTCTTTTTTCCCCAGTGAAGAGCACCGTATTTTCCCCTGAAATCTTGTTGCAGAGGGTACAAAAGGAGCACAGAGTCAAAAAAAAAAGAAATAAAATGCTTATATTTCTTAATTTTTATTTATTTACCTGCCTTTTGTAACTCCTGTACTTTTTCACTCTAATCTGTTTAAGAAATATAATTTTGCTATATGAATGGTTAAAACCTGAACAAACCCCCTCTCTCCAAAGTTTCAGTGTAAAAAGAAATAAATGTGAATCATTGAGCAAGGTTTTTTGCATTACTCTGTGTTCTTTTTTGCTACTGCACCTTTACAATAACAAAACCACACAAGGTCCTTAAGGCACGCCAGAGGTCAGAGTGAGGTAGTCTGCACAGCTTATATATCCTCTCTCGCATTGTTAAAGTAATCACTTAGGAGAGATATGTACATTTTCAGACACAAGAAGAACAAAAATTATTTATTTCAGTAATTTCATTTTTCATATCCTTATCTGAAAGGGTTGAAAGTAAACCGGCACTGGATCAGCAGCCCACTGAGGGGCATTGACAGTTCACAGAAAAGCTGTGTCAGGTAAAAGCATGTTACTGCCTACAAAAGCACACTGAGTGAAGTCATGCCTCCTGCAATGCTCCAAAAGAAATCCCTGTTGCTAACCAAATATCATATCAGAAAATAAAGATTCAGTGCACTAAAAGCAACCAGCAGCAGACAGGAAAAGCTGTGAAATTGAAAGGAGGTAGCTGTTGGAAGATCAACGACGCTCAAAGTAAATGGTGTCTAACGCCTTTTCCATTTCATCAGCACATAGAAATAAAGTGCAAGTGCTGAGTATCTCAGGAAACAGGAATTTATGGCCAAGCCCTTTTCCCAAGCAGGATGTTTGCCTGCCTTTTTTTCCTAGCTATATGCATAAATGAGAAGTTTTCTAACAATTAAAAAGCATATATGTTGTAACACAATAGACCATTAGCCAAGCAACAAACATTCACAAGAATTCACAACACACTGCTGAACATCAGTGATAGTTACAACCTATATTATCCATCATTACAATTTAATCCAGGGGCTGTGTAGAATTATCAAACCAGTACATTTTGAAGTGGGTAGGTTTTTAACTTCTTCTAATAACTCAGCCTCCCAACAGAGAAACAGGAATCCTGATGACAAGGAACCCATGGCAAGAGTCCCAGTCATCTCAAAACAGATCTGTTCACAGAGAATGTTGGAGAGATGATTTATGAAAATCATTTAAGCAAGGAGGGTAAGAGCAAAATGCACAGGCTAATTAGTAAGTATAAAGGACAGAGAACGGAAAACAGAGACTGGGATGTGCAGATATAAGGAAAAATGCTTTGTTGTAGCATTTAGAGGACATGGAAGTGGCTAGCTCAGAAGATCACAGGAGATTTCAGCCCTTCCATTGAAGAAAGAAGTACCTGCATCTTCGCAGTGAGATTTCTGAATCAAGTCTGCTACTCATCACAAGCCTGAATGAATCTCAATTGCAAGGCAATGAAAGCTACCTCAGCTGCTTGGGAGTGACAGGCAGAGGAACAGTGAAGTCTTCCAGGCACATGATGGGACTGCTTGCTTTTCTGTGGCCCAGAGGAGGGTGGTACCTGAGCAGACCTTGCCCATTAGGACGGCTCCTTGGGCTGCTCCAATTCTGGCAAACTTTTCTTGCTCTGAAACAAGGGAGAAACAACTGGACGCAAGCCTAGTGCTCCCCAGTGATGACTGTAAACAGCTGGGTAGCATCTGTAACTGGAGTAAGGCTTTGCTCTCCATACAGAGAATCACAGAATATGAGGAGTTGGAAGGGACCTCGAAAGCTCATTCAGTCCAACCCCCCTGCCAGAGCAAGATCACCCAGACTGGGTCACACAGGAAAACCAGTCACAGTTTCAAGACTTGGGTGTCCCATGGCCAGTCAGCAACGAGTGGTCTGGAAGAAAAAGTGAGAGGTAGGAACCACTAGTTTAGTTCACAGGTATCAAGCCAAGCCCATGAGACCCTCAAAAATACCTTGAGGGAACTGTATTATTTTGCAGAAAGACTCCCAGGATGCAGCCTCTGCAGGCACACAATCCATCATAGTTTAAGGACATCTTTATTTCCCTGACACAGGCAAGCACTTGGAAACAAGCTACAAAATTACTTACCCCACTTGAACTGAATTATCCACAGTACTAATGTTATTTCTGAGTGGTTTATAATTACTCATGCCAACCTAAGAAAAATGTTGGTGGCTGTTCCATTTGACTCGGCTCCCTTCACAGAGGTGAAACTCAGGAGCAACCATGGAGGAGGGAACAAAGGGAAAAGTCAGCCTGGGGCTATTTTCCACAGCAGCCTTTGTCTCCTAATGGAGAAAAAATTGAAGCTCTGACTCAGCCCCTTCTCCCAGTGTTTCTGGAGCCCTTTGGACCTGTGCCACACCTCATCATGTGCTTCTGAATGACAGAGGACAGGGAGGACAAGCAATACCAATGCACAGATCATCCATCTGATCTGCTCCCCTCTGGTCATATTCAGGCTAAGGAATATAGCTCCAGATCCACCAGGTCCATGACAGTTTACACCAGTGAAAGACCAGCCAGAGAGAGAGACAGAGCAGAGCACATCACCAGCCTGGCTGCTGAGTAAAGCCAAGGAAGCCAGAATGCATTCGGGACCTGAGGTCCTGTATTATTCCCTGTAAGAATGAATATACAATGAGATGGCGCCATCTTCTGCTCCAGCCCAGATATATTTCCTTCCCCACAGCACTGCTGCCAACTACAATATTTAGCCTCTCTTT